ACGTAGCAGAAAATGATAATATGGAAGCATTTGCCTACTCATCCATGATCTTGCAAGTGATGCACGCAATGACACCACGCCTCTCGTCTCATCATGTATCAGATGTAGTTTTGCTTGTGCCAGCACAGGTGCTTTCGACCTATGCGCACTCACCGTGAAACATCCGTTCCGCTTCCCTGCTTCTTTCGTTACTTCCGCAATGCTTGGAAGATCTCCATCATCGTAGCACAGACGTCACAATCAACCATCCGCGTGGTACCGCATCCATCACGTCTCAACGGTACCGTGGTACGAAGCTGTCATTATGCGTTGCATGCGCGCTATCCCCGCATGTCTATCACAGCAACTTGGTAGTACACAGTAGGCACTGGGGTTAATCACTCTTTGGCGTGTGCGCGACATGACGTCGCGTTTGGCGCGTGTCAAGAACCTGAAACGCGGAGTTGAAGATCGCATCTTGTCGTTCGTCGCGCCAGGAAAACTGTGGTTGACTGACCAGGTGACCCCACAGCGGGATTGTTCCCCACCTCTCCACAGATGCATCAAGCAAGCTGCAAGAACCCGCTGCTCATTGCCACACCGTAACTACACCTCAGCAATTCTCTCTTCTCCGTCGCATACATCGCTTGAAGGGTTCAGCATTCTGTTGCGTCTTGACAGGCACACAGCCCCAAGGACGCGAACAGCAGCAGCACCCGCATTGCCACCATCAGCTAGTTTCTAACCAGCCGGCGTACACCGAGTTCCACCATCACTAACTACAAGGACTGCGCAAGCCTACCAAGCAAGCCACCCGCCTACCAACCTAAAAGAGAGTAGACTTGTAGCACTGCCTGCTGCCGTGTGTTGCGCGTCAAATGTCCTGTATCACGCGGTCAACAGCATTTTGATCGAACCAGGACTTGCCACGGCTTGCACACGCTAGCGCCGAGTAGTCGCGGCCACGCCGAGGCTGATGTGCTATTAGCTTTGGAAGAGATGGATTGATACCTTGCATACCGAAAATTCCAAAGGCCGTTCTTGCCAATACGGCGGCGCTGAAAGATATATTTAGTTTGTAATCACAAGAGAGGCTAGTCAAAAAGGCTTGAGCCGATGGTAGAGCGGTCGCGAGCTGGGAACTAATGAAGCGCAGCTGAAGCCGAGCCTTGAACAGTATGGTGAGTCTTCGCCTTTGCTTAGGCTCATCGTTCAGAGTACTCTTGATTCTGCAAGCCTTTCGCCATTCCTCAGTCCGCGCCATACGCGATGGCTACAGTCTAACGTTGGGCATCATTAAATGCCTCAATGCTTACGTAGCCGCTTCCCTCGCTTTCGATAACCGACATTGTTGCATTCGCTCGTACTTCGGTATTATGACCAGGTTGTCAACATATGGTTAACCTTCGCTTTTAGCTAACACGTTGACTCCAGCTTGACTAGGAAACCAGGACCGTTGCTGCAACGACGATCACGACAATGCCAGGAGCCGAGTTGAGTTGAACGAACTACGCTATAACACAATCTTTTTACAATGGATGTAGTCAGCTCTTTCCTGCTCGTATCTAAAGCTACGTAGCCACATTGCTGGTGCTATGCCATGGTATCCGCAAACTTGACCTTTAATCTATCTTTGCGTAACACCGTCATTTAACCTCCCATTAATCGTCAAGGTCCTACTGCTCTCTCCTCTCACTCTGGTAGGTCTTTCTCAGTCCAAGTGTTGGCCCAAAACGTCCCGATGTCTATGCCTAAACAACTGGTATTGACTTTCCAACAATCTTTCTGTCCAAGAAAATTCGTCCGCTGAGCACATTACCCCTCCTCACAATGTCCTTGCCCCTTCTCCCCACTCTACACAAATAGCACTCCTGCAGCCCCAGCCATCGCCCCCGCAAAACCCATCTTCTTGAATCCTCTTACTGGAACCGCAGCACCGGTAGCCTCCACAAGGCTTGAAGAACCCGTAGCGCTCTGTGTAGTGCTACCTCCACTCCCCGTCCCCGTCACACTCTGCGAACTAGCACTTTCTTCAAAGCTCGCAGTCCTCGAACCAACAGCACTTTGAATACCAGTGATCACTGTAACATCTTCGGTCACTGTGTTGGAAGGCACAGGTGATGCTGTATCGACTGCCAGACTCGGTGCTACAGCTAATGATGTTGGGAGCGAGCTCGCCGGTGTACTGACGCTGTTGTCGACGGTAAAGGCGTCACCCCATGACGGGGTTGGAGACGCGGATGGGAGCAGGTTCTCTGTTGACGTTTCCGCTGCGGGTTTGACGGCGAAGGGCTCACCCCATGACTGTGTTGTCGCGGAAGAGATGCCGAGGAGGGAGAGCAGAGTCGTCTTTCGGAGGGAGGATTTGCGCATGTCGGCGGTGTTTGCTCGGTATGTCTTGGAACTCGTTGATGTCTCTCCTCGATGCCTGGAGCTTGCGTAGGTTGTTTCTTGAGATGCGTAAACTGAGTGACAGGGTTTCAAGCTTCACGGCGATGGCTTCTTTTTACTTGGATGCCAGGGGACCCTGCGCTCATCCCGATACTCCGGATCATCACTATCCACCCAGAAATTGCCGTATTGAGCGTGTAGTACTCACAAGTCTGACGTAAGTTTCCAGCACAAACAGCGATGCGTATCGCGTTAACGTGGTGAGACAGCCAGCCTCCTGGTTTCTGATAGGCTGTCAGTCCGGATGGAAGGTGTCTGATTGGTCGCGAAGGCTTAGTGCTGTCTCGTTCGGGTCTCCGCAATGCTGCCGCACGCGAACCACTGCCGGACCCCGACATTTTGCGATGCCGAAACGACGCGCAACATCCTGCAGTGTGATATGCACTCATTTCTATTGTAGGAGAAGTGTATGTTGCAAGGAAGCTGGTGGCTTGCTGTGGCGCTGAGATCTACCATCGGAAACCAAGACACCAACCAGTCATCAGAATTTTACGACAACGTTTGCAATTGCACTACAGACAGGTTACTAGGAGTCAAATCCATCTCTATTCGTCAAAATTTCGGCCAGGAAATAGCTCCACTACCATTTGACAAGATCCTGCACTTGGACAGGCATACCAGTCTCCATGGAGCGATTCGCACCAACACCGACAAGGACAGCATTACCGCCATCCCGAATGTACGCAGCTCGTTTAAAGCTGTCTTCACCGTCGCTGGTAGCGATGACATCTCGCAGAAGCAGGGGGTCGCCACCTCCGTGGCCGCCTTCGCTCTTGACAACATCAACGACATAAGGCTGTCCCCACAAGGGATACACCACAATGTTTGTCTTCTCCACGCCACCTTGGATGTAATTTGCTTCGAGCTCACCGAGCCCTTCGTTTGTGACAGTCTCACCACCCGCTGAGTATCCGCCTTCGACAACATTTATCTCGATGCGGCCCTTGCTACCATTGAACACGCAGCGATATCCCTCCCATGGCGCATAAGCATATGTGTTGTAGGTCATGACCGCTTTGTTCTTGTACTTGATGATCATGGAGAGATTGTCTTCGATAGTGATGCCTTCAGCGAAGCAGTTGCGGTCACGGATGTAGCCGTCCTCGTGCTCAGCCTCGAGGTACAACTTCTTCAGTTGGGCGTTTTGGTCGATATGAATCGCAAACGGGTCGTCTTTCGCAGCCTCGTTGTTGAGATAGCGTTCGCCTAGATTCTTCTCTCCTCTTCGCTCAGCGTTTTCTCTACCGTAGAAACGTAAGCTACCGACGCAGTAGACCATCTCGGGTTCCGTGTTCAGCCAGTAATGTACCAGGTCGAAGTGATGAATGGACTTGTGCATCTGGATACCACCACTGGTGTCTTTGTTTCGATGCCATCGTCGCATGAAATCAGATCCATGTGCGCAGTCCAGAATCCAGTCCATGTGTACCGTCGAGATTTCACCAATGACTCCGGAATCGACAAGCTCGCGTAGCTTCGTGTGGTGAGGTGCGTATCGATAGTTGAAGAGAACACGAACTTGCTTGCCTGTCCTCTTCTCCGCATCGATCATCGCTTGCAGCTTCTTCTCGTCGATAGTCATAGGTTTCTCGGTAATCGCGTCGCAACCCAGCTCCATAGCGCGGATACAGTATACGTGGTGGAACTTGTCGATGGTGGTGACGATTACGACGTCGGCCTTTTGCTCTTTGACCATCTTGTCGAAGTCTTCTGCCTTGTACATCGGGACGCGTTCGCCGCCAATCTCGGCAATGCGATCATTTGCAGCCTTCATGCGCGTCTCATTGGTATCGCATATACCAACGACTGCAGCGCTCGATTTGAAGTCTTGGATGATGCTTTGGTAGTAGAACGCGGATCTAACGCCCATGCCCACAATGACATAGCGCTTGATCTGTGGAGAAGTCATGGCTTTGGGGAGCAAGCCTGGATGTTCAGAGGTAGGATATAATGACGCTTGGATATGAAATTGGTGACAACCAAAGTGGCCTTACACCCACCTTTATACGATGCCTTCCTTGAGTCTGCATGATTCAAGGTAAATTGGTACTATGCGTCGTTAACAATAGAGCATCAAATCAGAGGTCTTCGGTGAAAAGCAAATTGATGGTATCCAGTAATCGAGTGTTTCGTTGCAGGTGTTCGTGTGGAGCAGCGGAGTGTGGAGAGTGTAGGTAGCACATCGACACTGCGCCCGCTTGTTACACACTTCGATCGGCTCATGGCTTTGAAATCCTGCTGCAAACATGGAGATTGTATGGCAGTCGAGAGGGAAAGCACCGAAGAAACGGACGGCTGCAGCATGCCCCACTTGTCGGTCACGCAAGAAACGATGTTACCATTTTGAGGACCGCGGATATCGAAGGAAGGAGCGAACTTGCGGAATAGGAAGTCGAGTGCAAGAGACTCATCTGTACACTGATATAGGCGAGCCCATCCCAAGTCCCGGTCGCGTGAGCGAATACAACCCTGAATCCGTCCTGGCAGCTCTATCGGAAGACGCTGAGCCAGGATCAAGCGCCTTGCATCAGACAACACATACGACATCATCCCAGCATATGCCAAAAGCTATGATACTTACTTCTTCCGCCGCATACGAAGCACAGCGCCGATTGAAGTGGTATGAGCAACATAAGGTCCGGACCACTACGCCGAGCCTATCCGAGTCGTATCGAAAATATCTCGAGGAAGAAGGAGCTTTCGCGTCACTACCCAAAACTACGACGGACGCCCTCCTACCCTTGTACATTTCGACGTTGAATGACCTCACTCCCATCACGGATGGCGCTGCCGTCTTCCGCGATCACAGTAATGGACAAGCGTCTATCTACTTGGTCAGGGCGATATGCCTTGTCTTCTGCAAAACAAAACACGCAGCTCCTTTCTTACGACTGACTGACTCTGGGCCTCTACTCAAACCTCTAGACTTTGCATCAAAGCTTCTAGCTGGACTAGATGCTGCCATAAAAGCAGACTTGGAACCTAATCGCATCGTCAAGATTCAGATCTTAGCACTGATGCACCTGCACAACGACGGCCTAGCCGGCGTAGATCGCGCGTCCAGTTACCTTTCGCAGGCCATATGCGAAGCATGGTCAATGTGCATACACCTCAAGATACCTGGCAACCCTGACAACGACGAATGCAAGTATCTATGGTGGTCACTGCGGAACTTTGACCGCCTTGGTAAACCCATCATGGCAGCAGCACCCTTCTTCATCGATGATGCAGATATTGGCGTTGAACGTATAGAACCGAAGAGAGACGACTATCGCTCTCAAATCATGGCTGTCTCTCTCGCTCTTGGAGACCTCATGACGACCGCGACTAGAGCTTACAAAGCTGGCGCCACAACGGCGGTCGATAGTTGCTGGGAGTTCCCATCGCTATCGGAAATTGCGGGCGGGAGTAATTTCGATCAGTTCCACATGTCGCATCGAGGTAAGACACTTCCCGACTCGACTCTTCATTCTACTTAAAGCAGCAGTATATCTGGAGACATGGTATCATGTTGCCGCCATGCTATCCTGTCGCTATAGTGGGCCAAACACCGAACAATACAACAGACGTCTTGCGTCCGCGGATAGAGTGCTCGAGATAGTCTCTCGTGAAGGATGCGAAGGCCTTCCTCCGCTTCCACTAGTACCTTATGCCATGTCCATGTCCACAACGGTCATCTACCGAGCCTTACACGATCGTGTAAGAGACATTGGTAAAGCACGAGTGGATCTTCGCCAGTGCTGCGATACCCTCGATGACCTCAGTGAGCGATGGACTAGCGTGAGAGGCGTGGCCAAGCTTGCAAAGCGGCTTTGTAGACTGATAAGCGACGGTGCACACGACAGCTTGCGAGACGCGCATCGAGGTGGTACTACCACATCCAACAGCACAGTCTCAACTTTGGCTATACCAGCCAACAACAACGCTGTTACGGACCAGATAGGAGTTCCATATAGCGACGAGGCTTTCCAAAGATATCTCACCGACATCTGGCCAAGCTTCGATGCATCCTACTCTCAGTTAGATTGGGCATTTCAGGACTATGGCTTGGACATGGAATTCCCCAGCCCGTTCGATGATTTGCAATCTTGATAGGTTCAGAGTTCGACAAAAGACTCGTCGAGAGCACAGTTGGAATGGGAACTCCAAAGCATTGCATAAGAAACTCATAAATTCGTTGCCTAATCGACCTGCTCAAAGAGCCTGACCAACCGGTCTATGGCCTAAAAACTCGCCATTTTGCGCATGCGCCACGCGAGGCGGACTATACGCAATATACTCTTGTTGCTGAGCCTGCCCTTGTCCCTGTGTATTACTGCCTACATCGCCCAAATTTAAACCATCTCTCTTACCCGCATCCAACTCGCTGGGCGGTGGCATCTCTCTGCCGTCGATTTCCCAGATGTTCGCGTTTGTCGGCATCTCGTTGCTTTCTGGTATCTTGGAATCAATGTATTGGTGTTGTTGTGCTGGCTTCTCGTCGGAGTATCTGGGTGCTGGGGTAGAGCTAGATAGAGAGTGCCGTGCAGCGACGGCGCTGGCACCGGCTCCCATTGCTGCTGCGCCTCCAAAGGTTGATGTTGATGCCCATGGTGCCTGGCTTCCAGACTCCATAGGAGATACGGGAGACATCATTGTTGTTGGTTGTGTTGAAGACCTGTCGGTTTGCGTAGGAAGGGTATTGGTGGTAGAATACGGGTTTGGATGCGGGATATGTGTGTATGCGCTGTTCGTCGGCGGGGAGTGATCGGACGAAGAAGATGCTGCGGGACTGGCCTCTTTGTCGTTCAGGACCGCGCTTCTGGATTTCTTCTTTCTATGACGGAGGAGAAGGAGGACGAATATGCCAATTAGGGCCAGAGCTGCGACCCCTCCTACTACCACACCAGCGATTAGACCTGTTGAGGGACCGGAACTTGAATCTGAGGATGATGCGCCTGCGGCAGCTGCACTCGACGACGTTGGTTCTTCCGATGTGGTGCTTGAAGCTGCGCCCGCAGTTGACGATGCCTCTGTTGTTGTCGGCCCGGTGCTCCTCGCTGTACTGCTTGCCTCCTCTGTTGCACTCGTTGCCGTGATCTCAGCCGCAATGCTCGTGGGATTCGCAGGTGTTGGTAAAGCATTCACCACACTACCCGCTACGCTCTCGATAACGGCCGTAGGCACCGTAACGCCATTGCTCGACAGCACTGAGGAGACATCGCCAACGATGCTGGATAACAGATCGCCAATCTGTCTCCGTTGACGCTGATGGTTCCTCCGTACTTCCTCCGCGCCGATGCTACCTGCCGCAAGACAATAGTCGCTTGTATAACTCTCGGCGATCGAACGATCCGGGTGCGATGTTGGATGCGACGCGTGGTTGTCGAAGCATGAGACGCGCCATAGGTACTGTTCGCACAGACACGTATAGTCGGGAATCGGGGTGGTATTGCAGGGAAAGTAGCCCTTAACGGCGGATATGCAGGAAGTTATTGCACTAGATTGGTCAATGTCAGTAAACCTCGCTCCTGTTGACCAATTCGCGGTTGAGAATGCATAATTACATCTGTTCATGGTTCGCGCCCTGACCAGCCGAAACAATGGGCCATCGCAGCGCCGGCGCAAGCTTGAGCAGGACACCAAGCATCATCAGAATCGTTGTTGACGGATGAACGGACCCGGTTGAAGCGACAGCACCATCAGCGCTTTAACGTACTAGCCAGACCTACTTCCATCAGGCTTGCGAAGTGGCGGTAACCGGGCGTTCCATTCGTTGATCCTGCACCGGCAGAAGCGGGGACACCGACCCATCTATGCAATGCTCTGTTCCGAGCACCCGTCTCGCGATAGGAAACCTGTTGGCCATCGATGATGTAGGTGTGGAGGTGCGGCTTACCTGTGGCTGGGTAAACCAGGGGATCCGTGAGGTTTAACTGGTGGGGAGAACTTTAGCCTCGTGCGCTAACGGGCTGCCCTGATGGCATCGCAACGTGGAGACCATGAGTTTGGGCATGATCACCGTTTGTGAGACGAGAACGCGTCGAGCTAGGATAATTGACGTGCGCAATTGTGCTACGAGCGTCGATGCACCGCCACACCTGTAGTGTTCTGGGCCCGCGTACTCTGTATAGAATGTGAATTTGTGATGCTTGGGGTATGGTAGAAAGTGAACTGCCGACTCCAGAATGATGCTCCGCTGAAAAGAAATGGGTATTGAAGCACTGCCACAACCGTCCTCCCGGCCCTGGAAGTGTCCATTGAGAGACATTCAATAGAATCTTACTTCCCGTTGGTACCATCACCGTGACCTTCCAACCGGTTTACCAACCTCTTGACGCCACTCCACTCCTCGCTACGTGTCTGGACACCTCCAAGATCATCGCCCACCTCGAAGATGGTGACGACGCCATCCATGCCTCCCACTGCAACTCTGCGCCCTTCGTTCCTTTCCCATGCCAACTTGTTCAGACTCCTGTTCATGTAGCCAAGACCAGTTGGCATGTTCGTAAACGCGCCACGCTTACCGTCACTGGGCTTGACCGATTGAACAGGAACCTCGACATCTACGTTGATATCCCAGACTTCGAGACTTCCCGCTCCGTCGACAAGCGCGAAGACGGAGGGTTTGACAGGCGACCATCGAACGTCATAAACGAGATCTTCGCGTGCAATGTCGAGAACGGGTGTTACTTGTTGCGTTGCACCAGGAAGTGTTGGGTTGGTAGCGCCTGTAGCAGCCGGCGGGCGGACCTTCCAAAGCTTGACGCTCCAGTCGACACTCGACGACAGAACAAGGTCTCCTAGATCGATCTGACCCTTGGCGGGATGGAAGTCTAGACTCATAACGGGCGCAGCATGGCCAGCGTACTTTACGCGGCCGTCTACACCTGCTTTCGCACCGGCTCGGTCATAGCGATGGCATGGGTAAATGGTACCCTCTTCTGTGCCTGCGAGGAAGTAAGTTGGATCCGATTGCGGGAAGGCTATGCTGGTCACTGCCATATCGTCTGTCTTGGCTGGCGGTGGTGATGTCAATTCAAGGAACTCTTGGGGCTGTGAAAGCATGTCAACAGTCCATCCACACACAACACCATCCGTCGAACACGAGATGATGTTGTTTGCGTTCTGCGTTCCGACAATGTCTAACGAGTAGACGGGATGTGTGTGACCGGAGCCAGTGAGCGGTGTCTTCTGCACTGGTGCGGACTTCGCGCGAGTGTCCCATAGCAGCACTTGCCCTGAGTACGCGCCTCCAACAATGAGATTTGGGTGGAACGGGGAGAACTTGGCGGTAAGGATATCGGACTGCGCATGGAAGATGTACTCGGGTCGATCGTGCATGTGCAGGTTCCATACTTGTACGAGACCGTCAGGGTCGTGTGGCGCGGACGGGTTCTTGGTGTACGAGGCAAGGACGAGTTCTGGGAACTGTGAAGCATGTCAGTGATTTAATCGCCAGACGTCACTGCACTCCATACCTTTGTTGAGAAGCCCAGATCTGAAATCATCCTCTTCTTGCTCCATCGCTCATCCCAGAATTGTGCAATCTCCTTGATGCGGCGACCCTTCTTGCCTCCACTTGAACCGTAACCCTCATCGTCATCGTCGACGTCTACACCACCGTTTGCGTAGTCTGCCAAGATGTCGTAGCCAAGTTGTTGGTCAAGCGCACGCTCTAATACCTTCGTGCTGCGCTCGACGAAGCCGATGAACTCCTCCGAGTTCTCGACAGCCGTCAATTCTTCGTTTGTGAGGGTCTTGAACGGGAAGTTCTCTTCTGACCCTGGTTGTTGTGCACCCTCTTCGGGCGCTTGCTGCAGGACCTTGAGCTCCTCCTCGATTTCCTTGCGCAGCTGCGCTCGGATCTCCTCGTCCCTCTCCTTCTGTCTCCGGCTCAGCCTCTTGCTCTTGGGTGACCGCGTAGGGCTCTCGTCGCGCTCCGTGTCGCTTCCCCCAATGCCTCGGTCTTTCGACGGGGTCCACTCTATGCTTGCTTGTACACCCTTGCTGTATGTAATGATTTCCTTCTCCTTCTTGACCTCGTTGGTGACCTGGCCGTCGGCCTCGTAGACTGTCGCTAGCGGAGCAAGCGAGAGAGTCTGCATCTCTCGGTCAACCATGCCGGTGAGGGACGGGAAGCCCGTGGATCCTTCATTGTCGCTGCTCAGTTGGCCTGCGCTGACTACCGATGTCGGGCGGGTTGGTCGTCCTGCGCCTGCTGGGGAGCCAGGTTGTGTAGAACCGGGTCTACTCTCCCCAAGGATGCTATTGATGAGGTTGGTGACGTCGGTTCTGCGGTCGAGATCTTCGCTGCGTCGTGGTGTTGGCGAGAGGACCTGTAATGTTAGTCAGTCACTGATTAGATGCAATTGGATATGTAACCTACTTCTCCTAGAGGACTACCAGTCGCGGATTGCCTGCTGGCTGACTCGGCCTTCCTCAGTTCTCGCTGGCGCTTGAGCTCGGCCAACTTGGCTTTCTTTGCGAGAATCTCATCGCGCCGCTGCTGCATTGTCGACTCCATGGCGGAGACGGGCGAGGTGGGATGCTTGGTCGAGTATGTGTCGGCGCTGTGGTAGAAGACTTAAGCTGCGTCGTGTATCCAGGGGCTGTTTCCTCCCCGCCTTCAGCTATCCACAGACAAAGGCAAGTGCAATGTACACAAAGGCAGGCGCGTCGGGTGATGCTGTCGCGCCAAGCGGTGGTGGTTCAGGGACGCACTAGCTCGCAGCCAGCGATCCCGACCAAATCTTGCGCCAGCCAACCTCAACTTTCACAGCTCAACGCCCAACATCTCGCATCCGCCCCGACGCCCTCGTCCCGACTCTCCGGATCCCCTGCAGCGGTGACTTTTCATCGCCCGTCCGGAATACCTGCCATTGGACATATACGAGCTCGATAACGCCTATCGCAAGTCCTCGCACGACCCTCACCATGTCCACTTCCGTCGGTGTCAACGTACGCTCTGCCCCTCGAAGCGCTTGCCAAGGTCTCTAGCACGACCGTTTGGGCCTTCCGCTAGCTCCAGAGATGGAACAACCAGGCTAATAGTGGTATTTACAGGTCCTCCGATGGTCCGCCCTCGGATTCGGCGTCTTCTACGGTGCCTACCACCAGCTCTCATTATCCGCCGCCGATAGGGCAAAGGCCGCACAGAAGGACTGGGAGCACAAGGAGTCATTGATTAGGCAAGCAAAGCAACAATGGGCACGGGACCACCCCTCAGAACAGCCAAAGTCATCAGGCGGTACGTCAGACCGACGACACATGTCAAAATTCCCAACTTGGCCATGTGTATGATACAGCAGAACATATACTGACAACCAAACAGCCATCGCAGACCCGAAAGACCCCAACGCCGACCTCAACACACTCCTCGGCATAACCGACAAATAAGCGCACACCCAGAGTGATTCCGTTTCCTACGTTAGCATGGGCATAATGCGGCCGGATCCCATCGAGCCGAGAAGCGGCTGGGTGGGGAGAGCAGTCAATAGTGGTACGACATCTACGAGATACCAATCTCTTGTACTATGTACCTTTTGTACAACATAGACGTCGAGTTGGTCACGTTTTCAATATACATGCTTCAGTTCGATCTCTTCAAGCCTCGTCCGTATCCATATGTCATGTAGTCCCCTCGAAACTAG